GCTCTCTCCTGCTGCTCTGTGTTAGTTGCCTGTTTGCACAAGCTCTACTACCCAATGGAACTGAGTCACCCAAACCAAACACAACAACAAGTAAGGACATCACTTCATTTGTGGGGGTAGGAGTGGGTGTGGAAGTGACTTCTAGTGAGGTTTCCCTGGTGACATAGTCCTTGATAATTTTCCAGGACATTGACCCCACTAAGGTGCTTCTAGTCATGCCAGGTGACTTCTCTTTGGGCTCCATGTGACTGGTGCTTGTTTCACTTTCTCTTCCCATGTCTGGGAAGAACATGAGAGAGCTTTGGGTGAGGTGGAGAAGCACAGGATGTCTCCTCCTGCCTGGCTACAAGCTCTCCATGCCCCAGGAGCTGTCACTGTGGATTTCCAATGTGATGGGATGTGGACACAGATAATGTGAAGTAAATTATCAGCTAGACAACAGGATGAACATGTTTAAACACCATGAGGAGCTGTGATCTATATGAGTTCTGTGTTTCCTAATGGTATAAGCTGCCTAAGGCAAGGCTTGAGGAGGTGGATCAAGTGCAGGTGTCCTGAGTAAGATTGTCAGGGCAAATATAGGGGTTTCTCAAGTCCTGAGACCAATCTGCTGCACCACAGCATCTTTTATTCATCCTCATTTCTGTTTGCAGAACTTCTTCCTTTTGCTTCAAGCCCTGCTACAACCATGGCCTAACACATCCTGGTCCTGGAGTTAACCATGGCCTAAAACATGTGGTCCTGGAGTTCATGTCAAATAAAGCTTTGTTGAGGAAGTGTTCTAGGCCAGGTTGGATGGGGCTTGGAGGAACATGGGCTGGTGAAAAGTGTCCCTGCCCATGGCAGGGGGTGGGATTTGATCATCTTAAAGGTCCTTCCAACTCAAACCATACTATGGCTCTATCAAGATATGATTCAGCTCTTCAGTTCTGTGATGGGATGATATGTTTTACTTGCACTTCTTACTTGCACTCCTTACCCTTCATAATCCTGCCTAGCTGCCTTCCAAATCCCAGTGCTGGTGAGTGGTTCTCTGTTCAGGCAGTGGCAGTGTGTGACACCAGGCTCACGTGAGGGAGAGATTGCTGAAGGGTGAGCTGCTCCATGGGCTTGGCTGAAGAGAAATAAAGCTGCTGATACTCCATATAAACAGTGTGGTGGAATCCTGATAAGTTTTCAGGTGACTGTTGTTGACACCCAGTGTTTTATGGGAGGCTGTTGTGGTTTATTTGCTTTTTAATCTGCCTGTGAACTTTATACTCATACAGAAGGAGAACTAACAAGGACCAAAAGCCAGACATGGCTGATGGCCCTTGGGTTGCTTTGGTCCTTGGTTGTAGGAATTTAAATGGAAAGAGATGAGATTTAGATTAGGTATTGGGAAGGAATTGTTCCCTGTGAGGTGCTGAGGCACTGGCACAGGTTGCCCAGAGAAGCTGTGGCTGCTCCATCCCTGGGAGTGTTCAGGCCAGGTTGGATGGGGCTTGGAACAACCTGGGCTGGGGAAGGTGTCCCTGACCATGGCAGGGGGGTTGGAATGAGATGGACATTAAGGTCCTTCCAACCCAACCCAATCTCTGATTTTATGATAATTTAGGTGTTTGCCTTCACCAAAGTCTGAGGCTGGAGAGCAGTGAGGGTGCAGTGACCCCTGTGCTGCTTGAGCACTCACAGACCTCTGAAGGGGAAGTGTAGGGTTGGGGAAGCAACAGTCTCTACCATTAGTAGTAGATTCATGGATTCACAGGTTGTTAAAGGCTTTGGAATGGACCTTAGGGATCATCCAGCCCCAACCCCCTGCCCTGGGCAGGGACACTTCCTACCAGACCAGGTTGCTCAAGACTTTCTCCAATGTGAGTAACAATGTGAGTCTTGTTTTGCTTAGGACTTCCAAAATAAACAAATGATTAGTATAAATAGAGGTTTAGCTAAGTAGAAAATTGCTGATTACTGTGTCTGCTGAAGGCCTGTGATGTAGTTGTCTGTGCTGCTTCTTGTCTGGCCCTTGCAGCAGGAGGAAAATGAGTGACTAATGTTCGTGTGAATCTGTAAGAATATGGGAATTGGGAAAGGGAAGTGACTTGGTAGTTGTATCACTTCCCAGAAGGTTAATGCCAGGAGGTCAAAGGGAATTTGGCTATTGATGCTCTTCACCTTCAGAGCTGAATTAGGAATCATGTTGAATTTCAGTTTGATAATGTGGATAAGGACAATCTTATCAGCCAGATTTTAATTAAATCTTCATTTCAGTGCTATGATTTAGGAATGATGAGCATGACTAAACTGTTTTCCCTCAGTATCAAAGCCTTCACTGCTCTACAGTGAGGAAGAGTTTTCCCTGAGTGACAAGTGCACACTGACAGTACTTTGCTATATAAAAACTTCCAAGATAATAGGATTATCTAAGACATTTGATAACCAGTGAACTAATATGGTGTTTTTTCATATAAAAATCAAGGGTTTTTTTGATTGAAGTCTAAAGAAAATTCTGATTAAAAGACTTTGGAAAGAACTAAGGGATACTAAAAAAAGTCCTGCTCTCCTTTGGAATGCTAATTTGATGAGTGAGCCAAAAGGATAAGATGCTTTTGGTTCTGAAAGGAATAGTTATAGTTTCTTGCATGCCATTATTTTAGCTGACTTGATTTGTTAAAGCAGTTGCTGAATTAAGATGTAGCTTTATTCTGATTTTAAACAAGTTTCCCTAGTCTGGATGGTTCAATTTTTAGCACTGCTACCATTTTCCTTCCTCCAAGAGCACCATGAAACTGCTACCATGAAATTTCCCTCTCATCAAATGACAATATTCTGGGGTTTATTATATTACCATTTCATGGAGAAATTGCCCTGACATGTACCCACAAGATTTAACTGTATTCAATAAGTATAAACTATAGAATCCTAGAGTGGGTTTGGTTGGAAGAGACCTCAAAGATCTTCTGGTTGCAACCCCCAAGTCAGTGTTTGTTTGTCTGGATTTGCATATATAAATGTAGATTTCAAATAGATACAACTTTATGCTCTCCAATATGTGTATCAGACTTTGTACCTGATACTGTCCATAACACATTGATTCCTGGTTGCTCAGGTATTAATGAGTCCTCCAGTATTAATCATCATCAGGATTGTCTTACTCACTCTTGTATTTCTACTCGTTAAGTAGTTTAAAAGTGAAAGCAGTTGCAATTGTAAAGCTCTTTAAACCTTTCCAAATGGTTAAATACCTTTAGTATTTACTCTGTGAGTATCTCTTGGGGTTTGTGCTCATCTTTACAATTCCTTTCCACCACTGATGTGTGAGAGACATCTTGTCTGTTCTGTGTCAATCAGCAGGATAATTTCAGGTCTCTGATGAACTATTGAGGGCAAACCACACACCTTACCTTGATAGTTTGCTTTAATAGAAGGGGGAAAAAGTGTTTTAATCACACTTTTATGGGCCATTTTACCATTCAGATCCTACTTGCAAAGGAACTGATCCAGGGTTGAAGAAGATCACAGTTTGTGAGGACTGTGGAGGAAGGATCATGGGGCTGTTACTGATGGGCACACACTGCTCATAGTTCCTTTTTTTATGGGGGTTGCTTTGTTTCTGATATATCTGGAGAGTGGGAACATCCTCTCCCTGAAGGACATGGTGATCCATTTCCGGACAGAGCCATGGGCAGCAGCACCAGCAGTTCAGCTGGGAAGCAGCAGTGAGTCAGCCTTGCTGGGTGGCAGGGGAAACACAAGGGGTTGCCACCAGCCTCCTGGCACTATTCCCCCTCTCTTGTCAAGGGGAAACTCAGTGTTTCGTTATATCTCTGACAAAAATACCCTTGGGCTGATCTTTGTTGTGTGGCTGTGAACAGAAATCCCTGTGGGTTTGGGCCACAGCTCTCTGTGTGGGAGCAGTGGAAAAGTTTGCCTGGTAGAGATCTGCTTTGGAGGATCTGCCTCTCCTGCATGAATTTATTCACGTGTTTCAGTCATCGCTTTTTGAAGTAGCAATGATTAAAAAGTTATTTCAGGTCTGTCTTTGTCTCCTACTTGGTCTGTAGACAGTTGCCTTGGCCAAAGATCTTTCAGCCTTCAAGTCTACAATGGCCTGAGACCAGTCATAACTTTCTCGTACCATTTTGGGGCTGTATTTGTAAAATGATCGATTCAGATATCAAAGAAAATACAAGTAATAAATGAGGCTGTATAAACCACACTGTGCCTTACACACAGGCCCTGCAGGGCTGAAGCTGTTGGTGTGCTATGGCAAGGCTTTGAGGACAGATGTGCCTGTGTCCTAGGAAGAAGGGTTTGTTTCATGCAATCATAGACTGTTAAGGAATTGGAATGGAGCTAAGAGATGATCCAGCCCCAACCCCCTGCCATGGGCAGGGACACCTCCCACCAGAGCAGGTTGCTCAAGGCTCATCCAACCTGGCTGTGAACACTGCCAGGGTTGGGGCAGCCACAGCCTCCCTGGGCAACCTGGGCCAGTGTCTCTCCACCCTCACAGGGAGAACCTCTTCCCAATAGCTCATCTAAATTTCCCTCTTTTAAGTTATCCCCATTACTCCTTGTCCTATCCCTGCAGCTCCTAACCAAGAGTCCCTCTGCAGCTTCCCTGAAGCCCCTTCAGCTCCTGGCAAGGTGCTCTGAGGTCTCCACACAACCTTCTCTTCTCCAGGCTGAACAGCCCCAACTCCCTCAGCCTGTCCTCGTAGAGAAGGTGCTCCAGTCCTCTGATCAGCTTTGTGGCCTCCTCTGTCCTTGCACCAACAGTTCCGTGCCCTTCTGATGTTGAGGACACCAGAACTGTGTGCAGTGCTCCAGGTGAGGTCTCACCAGAGCAGAGCAGAGGGTGAGAATTCCCTCCCTCACCTGCTGCCACACTCCTTGGGATGCAGCTCATTAGGTCCCATGGACTTAGGCATGTTCCCATTCCTTAGATGGTCTCAAACCTGAGATCCTCTTCTCCAGTGAGCTCAGTGGTGGGGTTGTGGGTTTTGACCTGATTTCCTTGTGAAATGGCAGGAGGAGAGGTGAGCTGTTGGGGCAGAGAACTGCATGAGTCGTGGCAGGGATGCTCTGTCCTTAGCTGAAGAAATGGGGACACTGGTTTAGCAGGAGGTTGAGTTTGTTTTCTCCTGGTTTGGTTTGTAGCCTTCAGTGTTTGTCTGGGAGTCAGTTTTGACACCCCAAAAATGTGGTGTGAGGGACATCAACTCTGTGAGAGAAAGAGAAGGGAGATTTTTGGATTGTGAGAGGAAGAGTCTGGTGATTTTTGTATTGTGAAACGAGCTGAGGGAAACTTTTAATTCCCTTGTGACTCAAACTTGTTTTTTCCCCTGGTGTCATGGGTATTGACACAGAGCCAAGGAGGAGAACTAATATCAAACCCTTCAATCTTGGAGGATTCTGAGGCACTGAGTTTGACATGTTGAAACTCCAAAAGTGGATTAAAGTGGTTCTATGTTGTCTGTGAGTGGTAAAAATAGGTATTGTGTTGTTTGTCTCTCTCTCAGCCCTCGGTTTCCATCTGGAGTTGCTAAACACCACATAGGAATTGTTAAGCTGTTTCTGGTGATTCATCTTCATCCAGACAACTCCTTCCAATAGTGATTTCCTGAACCCCTGCCAAGCCATGGCTTCTGATGACAATTTTCTCCTGCCTGTCACTTTTATCTTTATGCATCATATAAATGTCAGGTTTCAGGCAATTTATTGCCTTCCCTCTCTTTGGATTATGATGTTGACTTAAGATACCTTCAGTCCTTGTATGTCCCGAGTTCACCTGTGCCTCTAAAGGATTTGTTTCCATGCCCTAATGGCCTCTTGGAGCCTCTACAGAGTTTCCAGCTACTCTCAAAACACAAGCCATCACACAGATGGTTTTGCAGTGATCAGTTCTGGACAGTTGGTTGACCCGTGTGACTCTTCCCTACATTATTGCTGGTGTTATGTACTCCTGAATATTTTATGGAATCATGGAATGGTTTGGGTTGGAAGGGACCTTAAAGAACATCTCATCCCACCCCCTGCCGTAGTCAGGGACATCCCCCACGGGCCCAGGTTGCTCCAAGTCCCATCCAACCTGGCCTGGAACGCTCCCAGGGATGGAGCAGCCACAGCTGCTCTGGGCAGCCTGTGCCAGAGCCACACCACCCTCACAGAGAGGAATTCCTTCCCAATATCCCATCTGTCCCTGCCCTCTGGCAGCTCTCAAAGACCACTGTAAGAATGGTAAAAAACTCACTAAAAGTGTGTAAATGTAGTTTAAAAGTATTAAAAACCCAACAAGACACCAGCAGCAACGCAGATTGCCTGGAGTTTGGCAGAACTGCTCGAGTTGCAGAGCAGGTTGGGTTTTGCTTGCTGAAGGATCAGACTGAGCTTTGCTTTCTTAAATAAAACATGTTGGGTTTTTTAATGATTTAAATGTGTTAAATATTGAATTATTCAGTGGAATTAAAAGGTTACAGAAGCATAATGAAAGTGAAAGGTGACGAGTCACATACGTAAACACAAGAGTGAGACTCAGATATATCACAGATGTATTTTTCTACTCTCCATTCTGAGTATTTGTTGAAGGTCTCATTATTCCTACTTGTCCTTGTATTTAGATGCAATGTAAGTCAATAAATCTCTGTGAAATGTGACTGATTTGTGTCTGGTTGAGAAACAGTGGATGCACATAAGGACACTGTAGTAAACCTTTTAATAGGCTGCAAATTCAACTTCATACCTTGTGCCTGCTCTGAGAACAGGGAAATTCTGTGCTTAACCTCTCATCCCAAAACTTATCCTTGATACTCTCCACAGCAGAGGGTTTGCTTGTGCTTTTGAATCACAGTCACAGAATCAATCAGGTTGGAAAAGACCTCTGAGATTATCAAGTCCAACCTATGACATAACACCACTTGCCAACTAGACCATGGCACTAAGTGCCATGTCCAGTCTGTTCTTAAACACCTCCAGGGATGGTGACTCCACCACCTCCCTGGGCAGCACATTCCAGGGTCTAATCACCCTTCCTGGGAAGAAATTCTTCCTAATATCTAGCCTAACTCTCCCCTGGCACTGCTCAAAGCTATGTCCTCTCATCCTGTCACTATCTGCCTGAGAGGAGTTTTCCAAGCCAGGAGCATGGTTGCACTCCCTGCCCCAGATTTTTGATGCTCCAAGCAGAGTTTCTGTACTGAATGAGGCAATCCTTGTGTATAATGTCCATGTTTACTGTGTTCAATCCAGACTCCACCGAGGAGAACAATGTGCAGAAGGACCTGCTCATTTCCCTGCTGATCCTGGGTGTGGTCATCATCTTCTGCTTCGTGCTGGTGGTGTACTTTGCCAGGTAGGTGTGTGTTGAAGCTGAGTGTGCAGAGCTTGCTGGGCCTCCTGATATGAGCTCAGGAGGAAGCGAGAGACGTGTGGTGAGGCAAAGCCTGCGGCGCAGAGCACAGTGCGGCCGCGGTGCCTCTCACTGAGAAGATGAACAGAAAGACTTTCTCTAGGATTACATGGTTGGTACAGGACTGGGGAGGAGGAAATGCTGATTGCCTTTCAGAGGAGTTCCTCAGGTCACCGTGGTGTTTGTGTTTCAGGTTCAGGAGACACAGGAAAGCTGTGGTGAACTCGGGCGACAAGAAGATGCCGAATGGGATCTTGGAGGAACAAGGTGTGGAGAGATTTGCTTTCAAGTTGTCTGTTTGGTTTGTGTGTGCTCATCCCCTTGTTCTCTAGTTAGGAATTGCTCACTTGTGTTTGCTTTTATTTGTTATATCAGTTGCAGGATTGTTATTAAGGAAGAGACCTTGAAGCTCATTAAAGCTGGACTAGATGACATCCAGAGGTCCCTTCTAACCCTAACTGTTCTGAGATTCATCTTTTTTCTCCCCCTGCCATGGACAGGGACACATTCCACTAGCCCAGGTTGCTCCAAGCCCCATCCAACCTGTCCTTGGACTAGGGATCCTATTAGAGTATATCTGTAACTCTATATCTAATCTTAACTTTAGGTTCTTGGTTTCAACTCATTTTCGCTCTAAGTTGTAATAGAGCAAATGTTTCTTTGTAAATGTGTTTTTGGCTCTTTCTAGATGTTTATTAGGGTGCCAACTGAGCTCCAGGTTTCTGACACTGTGATGTTTATATTCTGGCACTGATATTTAGATTTAGAGAAAGAAATATTGCGTTTTTTTTTTAAAAAGGGGGGGGGGGGGGGTAAGGTCCTTGACTCTTTGTGGAAGTACTGGCTGGTTTTTGAATGTGAGGAGAAGGAAGGAAGGGGCTGAGATAGAGCAGTTTTGACTGCCAGAGGTGCTAAAATAGAACACTCTGAAGACTTAAAATTGTTTTCCATTGGATTTGTCATTGTGCTGGGTTTGTTACCATTGGTGAGGAGTCCTGTGGGTGCCTCAGCTCGGAGCCAACAAACACTGAGGGACTGTACCAGGGATTTTAGCCATAACCAAGAGAAAAATGATGAATTTAATGATGATAAAAATTCCACCTGGGCTTTTTGTGCCCGTTGCCCTTGACTGTGTGTGAACTCTGGTGAGTGGTTGAGCAGGGTGGCAGTCAGAGGGAAATCAAACCTCTGAGGAACCCAGCAGCTTCCTGCTGGGCTGCTGCTTGTACACACGAGCAGCACCAACAGCTCCTCTTGGTGCAGTTCTTCTTGGCTGCCAGCGTAGAGTTAGTTTTTTATCCTTATTGCCCCTTCACAAGTGAAATCATCTCACAAAACCTCTTGGGTGGGAGATGCCGCAGGCTGTTCCCACAATTCCTGCCCCTGTCAGCAGAATGAACTTTCTCCTTTGCTAGGTAAAACTTGGTCACATTTTAATCTGATGTAAACATATCATTCATTTTACCAGTAGTGATTCTACTTGATTTTATTACATTCTCAAAGCAACTATTTGGCCTGTGCTTTTGGGTTTTTCTTCCCTGGAAATCAGCTCTATCACCAGCTGAAATCTCAGGGAAGGAGTTTGTTTTGGCATCTTCCAGCATGAAGATTGATTCATAGTTGGGAATATCTTGGTATGTGTTGCTCTGGACATGCCTTTAACACATACTTCCCTTGTCCTGACAGAACAGCAACGGGTCATGCTGCTCAGCAGGTCTCCCTCAGGCCCAAAGAAGTATTTCCCTATCCCAGTAGAGAATCTGGAGGAGGAGATCCGGATCCGATCAGCAGATGAAGGGAAGCTCTTCCGGGAGGAGTTCAATGTGAGTTCTCACACAGGGAGTGGACACCTGGGTGGCCAAAAATTGGGGGGAACCTCAAATATCTGCAATAATTCTTTGAGGTGTTTGGTGCATGGTGGTGATGTCTCAAGAGCCTCAGCACTCCTGAGTGTGATGGACTGTTGTATGTGCTGCTTTGTGTGTGATGACTCTTTATCTGGACAAACTCTGGATTTTAGCTGCTTGAAGTTTCTAAATTGGTGTTATATGGACAATTTGACACTTGCTACCACTTCAAGTAGGTGTTTAGTCTTACGGTCAGGCACTGGGACAGGGAATTGCCCAGGGAGGTGATGGAGTCACCACCCCTGGAAGTGTTTCAGAGGTGTCTGGATCTGACACTGGAGGATATGGTTTAGGGGTTCCAGCAGTGAGAGGTTAATGGTTAGGCTTGATGATCTTAGAGGTCTCCTCCAGCCTTGGTGATTCTATGATTTAGTGTTTGCCTGAAAGCTGGAGGAGAGGGACATGGATCTCTAGCATTGATTTTCTTGATGCTGGTGGAAGGTTTTTTGGGCAGTCAGTGTTTGACCTCTATGGGAAGTACTTAGAGGAGAAGACACAGTGTGGCCTTTAAGATTGCCCTAGGGAGATTTGACTTTTGTATTTTCAGGTCCTTTCATAGAAAAGTGGTGAGACACTGTCCCAGGTTGCCCAGGGAGGCTGTGGCTGCCCCAACCCTGGCAGTGTTCACAGCCAGGTTGGATGAGCCTTGAGCAACCTGCTCTGGTGGGAGGTGTCCCTGCCCAGGGCAGGGGGTTGGGGCTGGGTGATCTCTAAGGTCCATTCCAACCCCTTAACATTCTATGATTTATTCCATGATTCTTTTCACTTCCCTTCCAAGCAGCACAGAGCAGGAGCTTAAATGTCAGGCATGGCTGTGTGAAAGCCAAAGCACGTGTTGATTAGACAAGCTGCTCAGTTATCTTCTTAATTGGGAACATATTTATATCTGCAATTTGTTGCCTGATATATTTAAAACACACCATTTTCCCTTATCAGAGAGGGAGCACTGGGGAGATAGTTATCAAACTCCACAAAACGAATGTGACAACCAACTTGACAAGGTGTGTGCTGGGGAATTTTGACTCTCCTGATGAATTTGTTCTGTGGCTCTGAGTGAAACAAACCGTCTCATTTAATTTTAAACCCTGGTTTGCTTAGATCATTTTCTGCTCTGTTCTGTGAGTGTGTGAGATTGTCTGCACACAAAAATCCCAAGGTCTGCTCCCCATATCTGAGCAGGGATGAGAGTGGTGGTACATGAAGTCTTGATGCTTGATGTGGGTTTTTTCTTCTACTCTCAGTTGCTTAAGCTTTTGTTAGATGATTCCCTTGTGAGCACAGCGCAGGAGGAAGAGTGTGTTCAGGGCAGGAGGAAGTGTGTGTTCTTTCTTCCCAGGAAAAAAGAAGAAAGCCAATTGACAAAACCCTATTCCTTTCTGTAAAGCCTCTACCTCTGTTTATCATCCCTCATGGAAGATGAGCTGGATGTCAGAAGTCTGAACTGGATGGTTTATTGCTTTGGTTTTCAGATGAATTACTGGCAAGGTTCCTGTAAGAATTTGCTCTTGAAATGTGAACTTTGACTTGGTTAAGACATTGCTGTGGCTCATTCAGTGATAAAAAAAGGAGATGTGCTGATGCTGGGGTGGACTGAGCTCCTCAGAAGCTTCAGGAGGACTTTAGGGTTCCTATGAAGTGGGGACAGATCAGAGTGTGGTGGCAGCAGATGACCCAGTGCCACCAGGACTCATCAACTCCTCGTGACTGGCGGGTGATGGGGAGGACATGGTGAGGTGCCTCCTCCATGAATCATATCCTCTGCAGAGGGTGGGAGGAGGGAACTGGGCTGGGCCCTTGCACTGGGGTGCAGCATACTCTGGGGCATTAGGAGCTTCCTGGGGTGATGCCAAGGCCCTGCAGGAGTCAGAAAGGAGATGATTTTACCAGAGATTTTACTCTTCAGGTATTGAAGATGCAGAACTTCTATGACTGTTTAATGGGAATTTGTTGCCTGACTTTAAGTTTGAAGAATTAGTGTTTAAAGAGATTTATTCCATTCATTCATAGCATCCTAGAATGGTTTGGATTGCAAGGGACCATAAAGATCATCTCATTCCAACCCCTGCCATAGGCAGGAACAACTTCCACTACTTCTTTTTCTACAGAAATTAAGTTTCTCTGTTTTATAGGTCATAAATATATTTTAACCAGCAAAATGGGTTGATCAAAAGCCTTGGGCTTCATTCCAAGGAGGAATTCATCAGTCTGCTAAAAGCACCTTCTGTTTTCAACCCTTTCTTAATCTCTCTTCTTTCTTTTCACATTCACAAGCTGAAGTGACACAAAAAAAACCAACAAAGCCAACCCACAAGTGCACGTTGCTGTTTCCTCTGTGGTGGTGGTGAAGTCCTCCCAACACCACCCTCTTATCCTATGTCACCCTGCCGACACAAGTGCTGCTTCTCAGGGGAAATTCCAAGCCCTGCTCTGTGCCAGGCAAGGGGGATGGTGGTTATTGCTCTACCATCACTTAGCACAAGTTTCCCTTGCCCTGTGTGACTCAAACTGGGCAGTAGGAGGAAGAAGGGTGGGAGAAGGTGGTTGTGCATTTCCAACCACTTGAATTTCACCTTGGTGGCATCCAACATGCTGACACTGAGGTGTTAAGAGCTCAGTAAACGAAACTTAATGAGACTGAGGAAGTTGGGGCTGTTCAGCCTGGAGAAGAGAAGGTTGTGTGGAGACCTCAGAGCAACCTGCAGGAGCTGAAGAGGCTCCAGGGAAGCTGCAGAGGGACTCTGTGTTAGGAGCTGCAGTGACAGAACAAGGAGGAATGGGGATAAACTGCAAGAGAGAAATCTGGATTAGATCTTAGGCAAATGTTTTCCCTGTGAGGGTGATGAGACACTGTCCCAGGTTGCCCATGGAGGCTGTGGCTGCCCCAACCCTGGCAGTGTTCACAGCCAGGTTGGATGAGCCTTGAGCAACCTGTTCTGGTGGGAGGTGTCCCTGCCCGGGGCAGGGGTTGGGGCTGGATCATCTCTAAGCTCCATTCCAACCCCGTAAGATACTATGAATCTATGAAATTCAGTTGTGCTTTGGTCCATTTGCAGTGGAAGCATCTCAGCAGCTTCTGCCATAGAGGAGCTCCACTCAGTCACTTCCTTGTTTTCATATTCACCTCCTTCCTCTCCATTTCTTCCTTCCATTTGATTGATCTCCAAGGCTGTTTGGTTTTTTTAGCCTCCAGTAAATTCATCTTCAGTCTTAGCTCTTGCTGGTGACTTGCAGAGTTCAACACCATAAAAGAATTAGGACTTATTTTCTCTCTCTCCTTCCTGCCCTCACCTGTGAACCTCAGCCAGATGTTTGCTATTTCACGACCCTTAGCAGGGAGCTATTACCAGCCAGACTGTTTCTCTAATTGGCCAAGTGTAGTTGCTGTGGGAGCAGAGCTGGAGGAGCAGTGCCGTCATGCCTGGGTCACGGCGCCGTGAGTCACCACAGCAGATGGCAGCTCAGGCAGCACCTCAGAGCTTAACGCTTTGCTAAATAACTGTGATCTCTTCTGTTAAAAAAAAAAAAAAAAAGAGTCACTTCTTTCTTCCAAACTGCTGAACTTGTTTTCTGTAGTGAAATCTGCCAGGAGGAAGTTTCCTGTGAGAGAGTAATGAAGGTTCTTGGGAGCAAAATTGTTGAAATATGTTCTGTTGTGTTGGAGTCAAGGAAATATGTGGAAATGCATATTTTTCCTACTCTGTGTGCTGAGGCATTGGCCCAGGTTGCCCAGGGAGGCTGTGGCTGCCCCAACCCTGGCAGTGTTCACAGCCAGGTTGGATGAGCCTTGAGCAACCTGCTCTGGTGGGAGGTGTCCCTGCCCAGGGCAGAGGGTTGGGGCTGGATCATCTCTAAGCTCCATTCCAACTCCTTATGATTCTCTGTGCAGTCAAGACTTAGTTATTTTCTAACACATTGACTTTATACCTTTTCTCTTCCAGTCCTTAACACCTGGATATGTGCAGGGAACGTTTGAGATGGCAAATAAGGAAGAAAACAGGGAGAAAAACAGATATCCCAACATCCTTCCATGTAAGTCATCCCCTTTTCTCTGAAATAACTTAACTCTGGCACTGAGCAGGCTGGAGGTAGTGTTAGTTGGCTGAAAACAGACAAGTAATAGCAATTTCACTGGTCAGAAATGCTCTTCATGTGTTGTGTATGCCCAACCTGTCTGGTTGTGGCATATCTCTAGCACCAGTTTGGAAACTCTGTGCTTCTCAGGCCTCTTGCATGCAAGGAAATAACATGGTTCAACTTGATTAATGTGCTTGTAATGTGTTGTTGTTCAGATGATCATTCCAGAGTGATCTTGACCCAGATTGATGGTGTTCCACCTTCAGACTACATTAATGCCTCATATATAGATGTAAGTTGACATTTGCCCACACTTGGGCAAACTTGGAGAGTTAAAGAAGTATTTCTCTGCTAGCACCTGTTGGGGGTTCATCTGGTAATTGCTGTGATGTTTCTTTCCATAGGGCTATAAAGACAAGAATAAATTTATAGCAGCACAAGGTAACTTATTCTCGTTTCTCCTCTACATCTTAGGGCTGAATGGAGTTAATTTTAGATGTGTCTTAAAGGTTATTTTCAGCTGCAGCCAGTGATCAAATGTGAGGTGGTTTTAGAGGTGTCAGGTGAAGTGAAATTAGTGTGTGAGAGGTGACCAACTAGCTTTAGACCTGTGGATCTGCTCTGAGCAGAGCCTCACCTTCCCTCTCCCACCCCACTTTGCTTCTCTCCCAAACTGATGTCTCCTGGTAACACATTCTTAAGTGATCCTGCTACACAAGTTAGCACTTCCACAGGAATTGTTGTGCTATATTTAGTCACAACTGTGGGTATGTTTGTCACCACAAGCCCAGGCACAAAGCAGTAGCTTCCCCTGTCCTGCACAGCACAGTGAGCAGCTCTCGCACGAGGGTTTGTTGTGCTGACAGGTGATGTGAACCTTGGCATGGGGAAGAGCTGCAAAGAGGGAATCCCAAATGATGCTCCTGCCATAGTCTGTTTCATTAAATATTGTTTTGGAATTAATACTTAGGGCAACTTGCAGTGCCTGAAGAGGATCCGAGAGAGCTGCAAAGGGACTTTGGACAAGGAATGGAATGACAGGACAAGGGGGAATGGCTTTAAGGTGAAAGAGGAGATTTAGATGGGATACTGGGAAGGAATCCTTCCCTGTGAGGTGCTGAGACACTGGCACAGGGTGCCCAGAGAAGCTATGGCTGCTCCATCCCTGGAGTGTTCCAGGCCAGGTTGGATGGGGCTTGGAGCAGCCTGGGCTGGTGGGAGGTGTCCCTGCCCATGGCAGGGGGTGGAATGGAGTGATCTTTAAGGTTCTTCCAGCCCCTAAAATTCTGTGTCTCTATGAACAGCATTGCAAGGGAGGAGATACCTGCTGGAAGAGTAGCTTTGGCTGCATATCACTGTGTAAAAGAAAATATGGGGATTTTAAGATCTATGTGCTATATTCCAAGGCTGTGCAGGCTGTAGGGAACACAGACAGGGCTGGGTGGGTGCCCAGGGGTGTTGGTGTGTGCTTTGATCTGCTGGTCTCCATCCCTCTCCTGAGCAGAGTTGTGTTCTGTCTGCAGGGCCCAAGCAAGAAACAGTCAATGACTTCTGGAGGATGATTTGGGAGCAGAAATCAGCCATTATTGTCATGTTAACCAACCTGAAGGAAAGGAAAGAGGTAAAGAGCTTTGAGTTTGCTCTGAGGTGTCCCTATGTGCTCCAAGAGCAGCTGTGGCTACTCAGTGACTGGCCAGTCACACTTCTGACCACTTCCTCCCCCTGTACCTGTCAGCACAGCTGAGTTTCTGCTCAAAAATGTACTTGTCATTTCTGAAAGAGGAATTTATATCAGTTGTTCTCAAGGGAGAATGTTCTGACAGCTAATTGTATCAAAGGGAATTATCCAGAGGAAAACTCTTGTGTCTTTGGAAGGTCATACTCGTGGCTGGGTTTGGTTAGGAATGAGGATGAAAACTGTATTAGTTTTCCTGAGTATTAGGTTTCAAAATTCTTTCTGGCACATGCATAGGACACTTAGACCCCAAAGCTGTTTCTTTGTGGTGCTGTTGCTTCCTGTTTCCCCATTCCTCCTCTGTTATGGGATGGACACTTATTGGCTGCCTGTTCATGGTGCTGCTTCTGCTTTATTTTCCTGCTGTTTGATGAAGCTCAGACAGCAAAGGCAATCCATGAGGGCCCATTCCTAGTGTGAGAAGCCAGAGCTGCTCAGTCTGGATGTTCCTGATGATTCCAAGTGGCTGCCCAGAGAAGCTGTGGCTGTTCCATCCCTGGGTGTGTTCCAGGCCAGGTTGGATGGGGCTTGGAGCAGCCTGGGCTAGTGGGAGGTGTCTCTGCCCATGGCAGAGGTGAAACCAGATAGTCTTTACAGACCCTTCCAACCCAAACCGTTCTGTGATTCTCTAAGATGAGAACTGAGTTGCATTTCTCACTGGCTTCACCTACAGCTTGAAAATAGAGTGAAGACATCACAGACCTCACAGTTTGACACCCCTAACAAACCAACCAAACTGAAACAAAAGCTGTGTAGGTCTAGCTAGGTTCAAAAACAGCCTCAAAGCTGTTCTCACTTTCTCTGCATAAATTTGAGCACCACTAGTACCAGCAAGGTGTTAAAGCTGCAGTGTCCCACATGAGAAGCTCTGGGTACTGATATCCATATCTAGGTGTTTTTCACCTCACTTCTTTGTTTTATGAGTGGCCAACAATGAATGATGAGACCACTATGAGACAGCACTTGATGGCCTCTCTCCTGCCATGGCTGCAGGGAGAGGATTGCCTTGAGCTGAGCCAGGGCAGAGTCAGATTGGATGTGAGGAGAAATGTTTTCCCTGTGAGGGTGTTGAGGCACTGGGATATTGCCCAGGGCGGTGGTGGAGTCACCATCCCTGGGGGTGTTTAAGAGGTGTCTGGATCTGGTGCTGGAGGATCTGGGTTTGTTAGGGTTTAGGGGTCACAGCACTGACAGGTTAGTGGTTGGACTTGATGGTCTTAGAGGTCTCCTCCAACCCTGATCCTGTGAAGGCAATCTCAGTGTTATAAATCTCACTCTCTGTGTGTTTGTACAGGAAAAGTGTTACCAGTACTGGCCTGACCAAGGCTGTTGGACTTATGGCAACATCCGTGTGTCAGTGGAGGATTGCATTGTGCTGGTGGACTACACCATCCGCAAGTTCTGCGTGCAGTCGGTAAGGAACAGCCAAGCTCCTGCTGGGGCTTCCTCTGGGCTTTAGAGAAAGTTCTTACAATGTTATAACATAATCAGGGAGTTAATTAAGCAGGTTTGCAAATGAAGAAAGGTGTGGTGCATTTGGAGAGGGACTCTTGGTTAGGAACTGCAGGAGGAATGGGGAGAAATTGAAAGAGGGAAATTTAGATTAGATATTAGGAAGAAGCTTTTCCCTGTGAGGGTGGTGAGACACTGGCCCAGGTTGCCCAGGGAGGCTGTGGCTGCCCCAACCCTGGCAGTGTTCACAGCCAGGTTGGATGAGCCTTGAGCAACCTGCTCTGGTGGGAGGTGTCCCTGCCCAGGGCAGAGTGTTGGGACTGGGTGATCTCTAAGCTCCATTCCAACCCGTTAACAGTCTGTGGTTCTCTGATTGCAGCTGTATTTCTGTTGTATCCATAGTCTCTGGCAGGAGTTAAAGCTTTAGATCCCAAGAGAGGTGGGTAGGGATGGCTCTGCTCTTGTCTGCACTGTGTTGCCTCACTAGGGATTAGTTTAGGGAGAGCTGCTGTGTTTGTAGTGCAATGACTGTCCAATTCCCATTGAAGACTGGAGACCATATGGGCTGGTGAGAGGTGACAAACCATGTGTAGCTGTGTACAACTCCCTGGAGAGCTCAGAACCCCTAAAAGCCCTCTTGGGGGTGATTATGGTGTTGGATTGATGATTGGACTGGATGATCTTTGACGGTCTTTTTCAGCATTTCTGATTCTGTGAAAATACATGTGATTCATTCAGCATTAGTTACAGATTCTGAACTGTGAAGCAGCTTGATTTACTATGGAGATCAGTTGGGTGTGAGTAGTGATTGCTCAGAAAGTGCTCATTGAAACTGTGCTCAGAAAGCAGGATGGGAAGGAAGGAACAGCATCAAGATGTGTGTGCTGTGGATAACCTGAAGGGCTGGAATGGACCTATTTGCCTTCCAGGTGTTGATCTCTTCTGTGAGCATGTGTTTGTAGGGTTTGGTTGGCCATGGATGGACACAAGGCACCATCACAAATCTGTTCTCTCCAGCTTGAAAGCAATGGCCTTGACCTGGCACAAAGCTTGTGAGAGAGATGTACTTTCTCACCTTGGGGATAGGTTGTGGTTAGTGAATGCAGGTGAGGTGATGCTGACACTGCTTCTCTGGTGGCCTCTCTTAATTCTAGGTCAGATTATCAGCCTGGCAGCAGTTGGGCATTAGCTGTTCAGCCTTTTTTTTCATTTTCCCCATGTGATTTGGCCCAAGCTGCTGTTTGGCATCTCACAGGCTGAATATTTAGACTGAATTTTGTGAGTTTCATCTGTGGCTGCTGAAAAAAAAGTGTTGTAAGGGTTTTATAAGTGAAAAAGAATGGGAATTTTACCCTGTACTTGTATTTTCGATACACTAAACTTCTAATCCCCAAGTCAGGCTCTGAGTGTTGCAGGAATTAAAGTCATAAACAACCACAGCAGTTTGTTTGTAAACCTTTGCATGCAAAATGAGATGTCCAACTCTGAGTCTGCGTGTTCTTGCAGCTTCATGATGGTTGCAAAGCCCCAAGACTCGTCACACAGCTTCACTTCACTAGCTGGCCTGACTTTGGGGTGCCTTTCACACCTATTGGCATGCTGAAATTCCTCAAGAAGGTCAAAACATTGAATCCTGCCCATGCTGGCCCAATTGTGGTTCACTGCAGGTATGTATGAGCTCCTCAAGCAATAATGCTGAGCTTTTTAGAGCCCAAAAAGGTCTGTCATTGCTGTCACTTCAATACTCAAACAGAAGTGGTTGGTTGGGTTGGTGTGTTTTTTAATTCCTGACTGATATCTATTGTTGGGTATAAAGATGTTCTTTGTTAGCCAAACAGACTCATAACACGAATATATGACCTTTGCCACTAAATGCTCCTCTGGGAATTCATCCTCCACTTCTCCCACAGGAAAAGTGCAGTTTGCTATGTAGATTAGCCATGAAATGCCTGAAAAGTTGGGAATAAAGATTTCATTCAAGGCACGTAAGTGCTGCAATTTAAGGCATGTGCTGTATAGCACTACAGAACACATTGCCACACAGCCTGGGGCTCGGGCTGTGTCTCAGCCTGGGTCAGAACTAGAGGAGGAGAGAGGTGACACTTCATTTCCGTTGAGTTCAGGATGTGACACCACTGAATTGTTGGGAAAAGGAAAGGGAAGCTCATCTGTAGTGAGTAACCAGCCAGTTTTAGTGAGCTTGTAGCATAATATTACCCAACCATCATGAGCCAAACAGCTCCTTTGGAATCTTTGGAAGTTAATAAAAGACTAATTTAGCACTGGGAAGGAAAGAGGAGCAGGTAAGGGTTGGGGGGAGCAGGATTTTCTGGCAAGTCTTTGATTGTGGGAGAGAGTGAGCAGGATTTTCTGCCAATTCCTTTAGTCTAGAAGCTTTCAGAACTATATTTTAGGAGTGAGCAGAGAGGTCCACTGAGGAATAGCTGAGCAAGGGAGTAGATTAAGGATGGAGAGAAATGCATTTTAGGAGTGAGCAGAGGTCCATTAAGGAATAGCTGAGCAAAGGATGCCCCAGAGTAAGTTAAGGATGGAGATAATCAGGGAATATCCAAGGCAGATGTCAAGGTTGGTGAAATCAGCAGCTTTTGCAGGATGGAGTTCAGGATGGAGCACTATTGGAATTCAGTGCTGAGCTGAAGTAAGGGAATCTTGGGGAGCGATCAAGGATGTGTAAAAAAGGATTGTGGCTGTAAAGGGAAGGGAAGTGAGGGATGTGGGGTTCAGTGGGTCAAACCTCCCAGGACTGAGCAGTGAAGGACAAGTGTGAAGTGGTAATGGGTGACCTGTGCTCCAAGGTGACTTCCAGGTTGTGTCAGGAAGAGGAAAACCTGCCTAAACTGTGAGAGTTGAGACAGTAGGATGTGAGGGGGCTCTGTGGTGGCAGAAGTCAGATGTGAATGAAAGGAAGCGAAGGGTCAGGGAGCCTCGGGGAGGAAGCTGTGGTGGCCCCTGGTCAGTGGCCACAGAGGGGCCAAGGAGACCAGTGGGTGGGAGCACTGGAGTGCAATGTGGCTATGAGGAAAGGGGAATCTGCCAAATGAGTGATTAAACCCAAATGGATTTGGAGGCAGAAGGTTACAGTGGAATTGTTCACTGTGATGCAGTTTGGTGAAGCTCTGTGGTTCTCCATGTGGCTCATCTCCAGTGTCCCTCCAGACCTCTGGAATAAATGGCTTTGGGCTCACTGCTGTTAAAAGTGTGTGTGGATGTATGAACTAAGTTATTAAGGACACCCGAATTTTTTTCTGGCTTTATTTAAAGCCTAATGTTTCCTGGCTGAGAGCTGCTTTGAGCAGATTGGGATATGGAGAGAGTTTTCGTCCCGGTCCTGGAGGTGTTTGTGGCCGATCCAGCTCAGTAAGCTGGAAGAGCTGGGGAGAGCTGTAAATGCCTAGCACAGGATGCCATGCCCTTTTCCTCTGGAAGGAAGAGCTGAGAGCTGCTGGAGGTGAGGCTTTTCTAAGGATCGCACTCCCTCTCGTGGCTCTGAGGGATAGAGGAAGGAAAAGCATTTGGAGATGGAACTCGAGTTAAAACAGATTAAAATTTCATTTTAGACTGAATTATTATGGAATTATATAGAGAGGATATATAATAGATATTAGTATTATATGTTCAAATGAGAAACTGGGGAGTTAGATTAGATATTAGGGAAAACTTTCTCATGGAAAGGGCTGTCCATCCCTGGCACAGCTGCCCAGGGCAGTGCTGGAGTCACCAGTCCTGCAGGGTGCCATGTAGATTTGACACTTGGGGACATGGTTAGTGGTGACCTTGACAGTGCTGGGACAACAGTTAGACTTGATGATCTCAAAGGCATTTTCCAACCCTAACCATTCCATGATTCCATGGTATTTTACATTTCCCAGTGACTGTTTCAGCCCAGTCTGAGCACAAGTCCTACGTGTGTGATTGCTGTAGCAATTCTGCAGACCTGGTAATTCCATGGAGGTTTCTGTGTGTTCTGTTCCCTTGCCCAGTGCTGGGGTTGGTCGCACAGGCACCTTCATCGTCATCGATGCCATCATAGACATGATGCACGCAGAGCAGAAGGTTGATGTCTTCGACTTCGTGTCCAGGATTCGCAACCAGCGACCACAGATGGTTCAGACTGACGTGAGTGGACTTTAGTTGGCTGAAATTACAACTTTTCATGGTCTAAAAAGAATGTGCTCCCGTCTTTCCACTCTGATATGCATCCCAGTGTGGCCTATGCTGGTGCAAACCTGGATAAGACTAGGCTGGGAGAAGAAATTGCTCCCTGTGAGGTGCTGAGGCACTGACACAGGTTGCCCAGAGAAGCTGTGGCTGCTCCATCACTGGGAGTGTTCCAGGCCAGGTTGGATGAGCCTTGAGCAACCTGCTCTGGTGGGAGGTGTCCCTGCCCACGGCAGGGGGTGGAACAAGATGATCTTTAAGGTCTCTTGCAACCCAAACCATTCTATGACTCTAAATGAGACAGCTAAGTCCCAGAATTCCTAGTTTCACTTCCTCACTGTATTCCCACCTGTGTCTGTTGCTTGCAGATGCAATACTCCTTCATCTATCAAGCCTTACTTGAATACTACCTCTACGGTGACACAGAGCTCGATGTGTCTTCCTTGGAAAAACACCTACAAACATCCCACAACGCAGCACCAAACCTGGTCAAAATAGGGCTAGAAGAAGAATTTAAAGTAAGTATGGAAATCCTTTGCCATAGATTGCTAAGACTTAACCCCAAAAGCTAAAAGTGTAACTTTAAAAGGTCCAGCAAAGGGAAGAAGTTGTATTTTGGGGTTGCTCTGAATGGATCCTCTGGAGAGGGTGAATGGAGCCTTGGGAACATCCTGTTGTGTAAATGCTCATTCAGAGCTCTGTGTGTTGTCCAGGCCCTTTCCTATAGGCTTTGTGTTTGTTTGTGAAGGAAAAGTGGAGTGATTCTCTGGCTCTGCTGCTAGATGCCAGATCAGATAATGCTGGAAGAGGAAACCGGATTACGTGTGCCTAATTTGCATCTCAGTGGGGTTGTTAACTCGGTGGTGACTGACCTGGGAGAATCGCAGGGAATTTACATGTCCAGAGTGTCTGGAAAGACAATTCAAAGGAAAAAGCTCTTCTGTTTAGTGGAGAAACCCCAAACTGCAGAAAACAGCCGCAATGTGTGTGGTCATTGCTAAAAGAGATTTTAGTGTCCCGAGGAAACACAACTTTTATATGACTTCGGCTATGCTAAAATATTTATTCTCCATATAGGTCTAAAGTTTCAAATGATATCTAGATGCTAACTGAGCTCTCACCTTGCTTTAAAGGGTTAATTTAATCAGGAATTGGAAACTGGGAAAAGATAGTAAAAAGGAGGGAGAGGGACTTTAATATGGGCAGATATATCTATGGAGCCAGGCTGGGAGAACTGGGGGTGTTCAGCCTGGGGAGGAGAAGGCACTGGGGAGACTTCAGAGCCCATTCCAGTACCTAAAGGGGCTCCAAGAGAGCTGCAGAGGGACTTGGGACAAGGGATGGAGGAACAGGACACAGGGAATGGCTTCACATTGACAGAGGGCAGGGACAGATGGGATATTGGGAAGGAATTGCTCCCTGTGAGGTGCTGAGGCACTGGCACAGATTGCCCAGAGAATCTGTGGCTGCTCCATCCCTGGGAGTGTTCCAGGCCAGGTTGGATGGGGCTTGGAGCAACCTGGGCTGGTGGGAGGTGTCCCTTGCCCATGGCAGGGGGGGGGATGCGCTGATCTTTAAGGTCCTTCCAACTCAAACCATTCCATGTTTCTGTGACTATTATCCTTAATTCATTTTTATAGTCAATGAAGGGACTTTTGTGGCAAGTCACTCTCCCTTTGTGTCACTGTTCTGTACCTGACAAAAGCACTTAGGAACAGCCTGAGAGGATCTGGTGAGTGAACCTCACTTCTGTCCCAGCGAGTTCTCATCCTCCTTTGTGTGTTCCCTTGCAGAAGTTAACAAACGTTCGGATCATGAAAGAGAACATGAGAACTGGCAACCTCCCAGCAAACATGAAGAAAGCAAGAGTCATCCAGATTATCCCATGTAAGAGGCCAATACTTTGTATGCAAGGGCTGGAAATACCCAATTAGCTGAGTACACACTCTGTAGAGATCCTGCCTGGATCTGGAAACTGGAATTCTGCACATAATTACTGTATATTTCTTAATGAGGAAAAGCGCTAACTTCTCTGCCTGTAAAACTCAAGTGCTTTCAACACCTGTTGAACTGCCCAGAGTGGTGAGGTTTGGGTTTGCTTCATTTTTGGGGTGTTTCTCTCAGCCATCCCCTGAGTTTTGTTGTCCCCTCTGCAGGTTTGTCTGCCTCAAAGCTTCTGGAGAGCTTCCTGATATGAACAGCACTACCCTCTCCTTCTAAAGTGTATTACCTTTATAAACCATCAGCACATCATTTAATGAATTGGCTTTTGCTCCATCACTGTAAAATCGATGGCAGTCAGATTAAAATCTATTACAATCAGCTCTTTTTCAGGGCTGCATTAAATACTTCAGTGGTTTCACCTTTAAACCAACCTATTCTCTGTGTGATTGCTTGCATCATCCAGAGCAGCACTTTTTCTGCACCTGAAAATGAAAGTTTCAGACCCACTTGGCTCTCAGAGAAAAGATTTTGTGGTTTTGTTCTTTCAGTTGGCAAAATGTAACCAGATTTTTCTTTTTCCAGATGACTTTAACAGAGTGATCCTGTCCATGAAGAGAGGACAAGAGTACACAGACTACATCAATGCTTCCTTCATAGATGTGAGTACACAACATTTTCATCTCTTTAAAGTTCCAATCAGGGATTTTGCTGTTTAGTTATTTCAGAGGCACAATGGACTTGGCTTATGAAGAAGATTAGCTTGTTTGGTTGGGTTTGTCTTGTAGGAGTTTCCAAGTACATTTCTTATCTGGTGTTTTCAATTTCAGTTGAAATGTGGTGTGATTTAAACATTCTCCTTGTTGTTAGATTTATAACCTAAGGCTTATACTAAATTGTGACAAACAGAAAGTGAAGCAAATTAGCTACAGAGCTAAGAACTCTTCCATTAGCTGGTTTAGGTTTGCAGAGCAAATAAACAGATTTGCTTTTCTGAGAATGTAAAAAGTCAGTGTTCAGCACAGGGAAAGGTTGTCACAGTGTTTGGGAGCCAGAGATTACCTGAGCAGACCTGGGTTATGAATAACTGTATAGAATTCCAAGCTTTCTTCCCATTTTCCTGTTGGAACCTGGGCAGCACCTTCCACCGTGGCTTGGTTTGATTTAACTATGGGAATTCAACAGATCCTTAAGCATTAAAACCCCACTAGTGACAGAGGGTTGTGTGAAGATCACACCTGTGTGGAAATAGAACTGGAGCTCAAAAATGGAGGTAAAAGTTGGTTCTATGGAAAAGCCTAAGAGCTGCTGCTGTTCTAACCTCATTGTGAAATCCTTTCAGTTACCTGGTCCTGCAGAATTTCATCCCTGCAGCCATGGCTGTAAAAAGTCATAAAATACAGCTCAAAATTCTGATATTGGGGGAATATCTTAGAATCACAGAATCATTTAGGTTGGAAAAGGCTTCTAAGACCATCAATTTTTGCTCATTGCCTCTTATTTTATTGATTTCCACCACTGAGCAGAGCCTGATCCATTGTCTTGGCACCTTCTGTTCATGGACTTGAATACATTAATGTGGTCCCTCTCAGTCATCTCTTCTCAAGGCTGAACAGCCCTAACTCCCTCAGCCTTTTCTAATCACTGAGGTGCTCCAGTCCCTTCAGCATCTTTGTCATCCTCCACTGGACCTGCTCCAGGAGCTCCATGTCCCTCTGGTCCTGAGGAGCCCAGAACTGGACACAACACTCTGGACCTGGTCCAGGAGCTCCATGTCCCTCTGGTCCTCAGTATCCCAGAACTGGACACAACACTCCAGTTGTGCCTCACGAGGGCTGAGTAGAGAGGCAGATCTTCTCCCTGGTAATACTCCTGTTAATGCCCCATGTGCTGCTGCTCTCTCCCGCAGGGCTATCGGCAGAAGGATTACTTCATTGCCACGCAGGGGCCACTTCCACACACGGTGGAGGATTTCTGGAGGATGGTTTGGGAGTGGAAGTGCCACACCATCGTGATGCTCACTGAGGTTCAGGAGAGGGAGCAGGTAGGTGTCCCACAGCTGCCGCCTCCACACCACAGCAGATCCTCTTCACTCCTACAAATTACAAGTGTTAATATTCAATAAAGTCTTTGCTGCCTAAAAATTCCAGCAATAGGAGGTTTCTCTTTGCCTTTCCTAAAATGAGGAGTTGCCTCACTATTTGGTGTGGGTCAGTGCTGCTGCTTTTGCTTGAATTGTCAGAAGACCCACCAAAACGGCCAATTTTATGGTTTTTTGAAAGCTTCCAGTTCATGTTAACAGATAATTGTCATGAACAAGTGCTTTAGGATTTGGGATCAAGCTGGACAAAGCTTTTGTATAAACTTTCCTCCTGGCTGTGCCAGTCTGAGCTCCACTGGCTCATTCTGAGCCTCTCCTCATCCATCACTCAGTAATGCTGAGTGTCCTGTGTGCTGCAGATTAAAGACTGAGGGGTCAGCACTGCAACCAGAGTGTTTTAGTGCTGTCAAATGCTTTTTCCCTTGGGTTTGAGAGGCTTTTAAACAATATTTCAGGAGTTATATATATTATTCTAGTTTGTTTTAAGGCAATATTTGCCATCTGTGCCTCCTGAGCCCTTTTCATCTTTATGCTTTATATTATAGAAGTGTTTTATTATTTAGTTCTTAGCTATTCTTACTGTTAGTATTCTTAGCCATTAGTGTTTGCAATAAGAAGTGTTTACTTAGTTATTCTTGATATTAGTATTTCGTAGTTCTCAGTATTCTTAGTTGTTTGTGCTTGCAATGCAACGTGTTTAGAACACATTCCTTGTGCTGGATGTCACGTCCTGTGTCAGAGATTGATGTCAATGTAGGTAAGTGGGAAAAAGGTGGAGGAATGTTGGCAATTCCCTGGATTTTGCAGGAGAAGTGCTGCCAGTACTGGCCATCGGAGGGCTCTGTGACTCACGGAGACATCACGGTGGAAATCAAGAGTGACAGCCTGTTAGATGCCATCAGTGTCAGGGACTTCCTAGTCACATACAATCAGGTAATCTTGCAAAATTCCATGAGTATTTTTTTTTTATTCCCGTTTGAAGCCATTTACGTATATGATTATGTAGCTTAAATTCTGGACTTTTATGTAAACCTTAATTTATCCAAACCTAAACATTTGACATTAAGAGAGAGTTTATATGATCCATTTTGACTTCAAGTCCCTGAAAATTGTGGTCAGTAAAACAAGCCTTTGGAGCAAAGTGGGTTTGGGGTTGGTTTGGTTTTTTTGATTGTTTTGTTGTTGCTGTTATATTTTACCTCTTTTCCTACATATCTATAAAACAAAATGTGATCCAAGATTTTTCATAGAATCCCAGACTGGTTTGGGTTGGAAGGATCTTAAAGCTCATCTCATTCCACCCCTGCCCCAGGCAGAGACACCTCCCACTAGCCCAGGTTGCTTCAAGCCACATCCACCCTGGCCTGGAACACTCCCAGGGATGGAGCAGCCACAGCTGCTCTGGGCAACCTGTGCCTGTGTCTCACCACCCTCACAGCCAAGAATTCCTTACCAGTATCTAATTTAAGCCTGGGGGATTTAGATGGGGGATTAAAAAATAGACCTGTCAGGTCTGTATGACCAATATGGAATCATTAGGGTTGGGAAAGACCTCTAAGATCATTAAGTCCAACTATAATATATATATAATGGACAGAGTTGGAAATAGGAACCTCTACTATAGCAGTGCCACAATTATCACAGAATATCCTGAGCTGGAAGGGACCCACAAGGATCATCAGTCCAACTCTTCACCCTGCACAGACACCCCAAGAATCCACCCTGTGCCTGAGAGTGTTGTCCAAACACTCCTGGAGCTCTGTCAGCCTTGGGGCTGTGCCCACTGCCCTGGGGAGCTGCTCAGTGCCCAAACACCTCTGGGAGAAGAACCTTTGCTTAATATCCAACCTAACCATCTCCTGACACAACTGGTCCCAGAGAGCAGAGCTCAGAGCTGCCCCTGCACTGCCCGTGTGAGGAAGTTGTACGCATTGATGAGGTCTCCCCTCAGTCTCCTCCAAACTGAGCAGACCAGCTGCCCTCAGCCCATCCTCATATGGCTTCCCCTCAAGGCCCTTCACCCTTGCGATGTTTAAGGCAAGAAGTGTTTCCCACTGTGCAGCAGCAAGTGGCTCAGTGTGCTGGTCTCACCCGCAGGGGAACCAGGAGAAGCAGAGCAGGCTG